TCAGGAGCCCCAGCTAAGGATAAACCAATGCCAGGATCCGCTAGCGTCCTGGTATGAAACTAGTCGCATGGTAGCTAATCTCTCTCTGATCCACAAAGGCCGGCAACTGCATGTGGTGATGACTACCTGGGGCAGGCTATGGCTAGGCTGACCTCGGGACTCTAGGGTACCACAAAGGCTAAACCAGCAAAAGTCTGAAAAGTGGAAATTTTGCTGGGGCCCGCACAGTAGGTGATAGCGGGTTATCCAAATAAGTATGCATATGATTAGGATGAGGAAAAGCTCTTCTAAAATAGTTTGACGATTTAAGCTCCTCAAATGCTCTAGTGATCGTGAAATCATTGCTGGTTTTACCAGCTTAGCGCGGCAGGTATTGATACCTTTACCGTTTTAATTCTGCATCCTATAAAAATTTAGACGGAATTTCGTTGTGGCTTACTTCTCCATAGTGTTTTTTCATCCGTACACAATTGAGCTCACAATTTGATAAGTGTATTCGCCAAAAAATCATGAAATGAAAGACTTTCTTTCTTTTGAGTTCACCTACAAAATAATGCTGCTGAGAATCATCTGTACCTTATAAGGATTCCACAATCAACACCAATATAAAGCTATGCGAAATGTGTTACCCTCAGTGAGCCTCAAGCCCATTATTTGGGTTTCTTCTTGTCAAAGGTACTTTTTTAAAAGGAAGAACAAATTTTTTAAGAAGAAGAACAAAACTATCGCGTTGATGTAACCCTTCATATCTCTTAGGATAGTGTTCGTGTGATCTTTCACGTCTTCTAGAAAGAACTTCATCAATAACGTTTGACTGATATCACCAGAGGAAATTCAGTTCGAGCTTGACACTTCAGTAAAGGTGTGATACCTAGCAGATATATGGATCGGCAAACTTAAAGAATAGCTGTCCATCATCGATGAAATAGGAGAGTTCATTATTATTCATCATCAATGAAAGTAAAGGTCAAGGTAACGAGCAGAGATATCGAAACATTTCTTGCTAACAATGCTCGACAACAGGTGTGAACCTTGAAGCAGAAAAAATTCTAGGCTTAAGGCGTCCAGTGACTGCACCGCTAAAAATAATGTTACAAGAATTTTCAATACTCTCACTGCCTTTTGTGATTGACTGGCTATCCTCTGTTGATAAATTTATTACTTAAGCAATATCGTTCAATGTTAAAGTCATCCACTGTCAGATCCAATTATGGTCACTACTATATACTTCAGTGCTAAGGTAGCAGAAGTGAGCGCCATCAATAAGGATCATGTGTACCTTGAGCATTTCCCTTTTAACTTGACTAAAGCTGGATTGGTGATTTTTCTTTGAAGTCTCAAAAGCAATTCCGGGAGTGCCGCAGTTATTTGACCCAAGATAGGTTCTTTCTAGAACGATTCCGAACCATCGTATTAGTTCGTTCTTACTAGGATCTCCAGTGCATGGCAGCTTCTGATCACTAGCGCATTCCAACAACGATGAGGAGTTAACTATGAAGGTAAAGTCTCATCTCACTGGAAGGATAACAAATACTTTAAGTCACACTCTACTTGATGTTATGCCATTTTATTTGCTAAGCATTGAAATTTCCATGTCCTAACATTCTAGCATGAGTAGACCGATAAGTTTTCATACGCCATCCATTTGACTTTGATTGACAGCTTTTCAGAAGCAGGTTGGCATGTATTCATTTCAGACTCAATCGATTAAATCTGCGCATTGAATTCATAAACGGCTTTATGAACAGCTTGGCCCCTAAGTAACGGAGTAATTCGGCGTGACCACTCCCCACATGAAATTATCCTTTGATATTCCAGCGTAAATCATTTCTACCTTTTCTTTTAACACCCATAGAACACTCCAGGATCGTTTTGTCCTCTACTGAACAAACAAATAAATTGAAGAACTTCACGTAAAACTCTCCGTACATCCTTCTCGGTTCCTCTTCACTTTTTTATACCGTTCTGGATCCATAAATCCATCTTTGGCTGACAACGTTCTCCAGATAACATCTAATCTTTATTTCGCATAAGCCAATAACGAAAAGATAATATACGAAGGTGACAAAAAATTCTTTGCAGGGTTCGAACACTTTCATAGAGTCATAATGAAAAAAACGAAAAAAAAAAGAAATGAGGAGATAGTGAGGTTTTTTACATTAGCCTTGTTCTTGTCCACGTCGTCTCGTCTGTGATTCATGGCGGCCTTATCCACAAGTAATGATAGGTCAGCAGTATGAGCCGCCGACAAGAGATACTAGGTAGGGTCAATATCAATCATACGGAGAGTACCCATCCATCCACCAACAAAAACCAACAACTGCTGCATTTCTATTGATGTTTCTTCCAACCAAGACCCACCACGAGATCAACGCGGTCACTCCTATACCTCACTCACTTCCTATGTGCTCCGTAGTCATAAACCTCAAATGATTTCTTCCACGACGTTGCTTCTACAGAGAATAACAGTGTCAGGCAGATTTTTAACTCACTTTACTTTTCTTCTTTAATCAATAATGCTACGAAGCGCAGAAAAACTACCAGATCTGCGATAAGCCGAATTTCATCAATATTCAACATGTTGCTACTAATCACGAAGGAACAAGAAATGAAAAAAATGGATAAACTAAAATAGCAAATTAATGATAAATCAAAGAAGCAAACAAATAATTGAATGGAAAAGCCTAAGAAATTTGAAGCTAAGCCGGAGTTCGTTAAGGACAAAACTCAAGCAAAACAAATTCCGCAGAAAACTTTCAAAGTTTGCAGAATTGGCTCAATATTCTTGAAACCTTTGAGCTTCTTGAATTTTTAAAAACATTTAATCCCTTAGAGAGCGGATAGCACGGTGGTAGTGATGCCCGTCATCACGAGTATGGTGCTATTTCGATTCCGCTTCGGGCCAACTAAGCCTCTCATCTCGCTGGGGTCGGGAAATTGATACCGGGCTTGTCTGTGAAAAAATCACTCTCTGCAATCCATTTGGAAGCGCTCCAGCCCGGCTATCTCAGGACTCTAGGGAGATTTGCTCGACTAGCATTCTACGACATTCAACGACAAAAAGGATAAAAGATAAAGCTCTCGGCCTTGATCAATCCCTGAGAGATGCGCCATTCATTCGACTTCATTAAGTGTCGTTGGAGGTGATTGAATGCATATCTGGCATTTACAATAACTCGCGCTGGCCTACCGATGTATCGAGCTAGTTCCCAGGATCGACTTTTTCTTAACCTCGGCATTGGAATATGAATGTGTCGTTTTCTTGTTCAGCAATCGCGAGGTTTTTAAACAGCATACATTTACTTCCATAAAAACACAATACAATACAACGCTAGCTGACGTTTCAGCAGTATCGCCTTCTTCAGAGCCGCTTTTTTCGTGACTTCTAATGAGGAAGTTTAGAACAGCTGATTATAGTCGCATGTGGTTGACGACTGCACCATCCCACATCAAAAATCGATGCGAACGTACGGGATCAGGTCGCGTATGACCTCCGGACATTCGTCCCTGCTATTCATTGTAGGGTTTTTGGCATTGATCCAAAAAGCCTCTAGGAGTTTTCGCGCTTGTGTTTTGGCCAAACACTTGGCCATTAGAAAATCCCGTTTATGTTGCCTTTTACAAGCGATGAAGTAAGCGTAGCTATAAAGCGATGCTTAAGAAGGGCAGGTCTAGAGGAATCGGTAGCGATAGTTGAAATACCACCGACTACTCTACGTCGCCAATTAGTTCGCAACCGCTTGTATGACCGTCTGTGTGAAACAACAAATTGCGTAATTTGCCCTTACGGCAGGGACGGTGATTGCATGAGTTCAGGTACGATATACCTGATCTCGTGTAACAATTGCGGAGATGAATATATTGGCGAAACGGGGAGACCTTTGTGTATCCGTATAAAAGAACACCTAGATGGCAAACGAAAACTAAGACGAAGCACCCCACTAGGCACGCATAGGATACAAAAGCATAGCGGAGACGATTTTGAAGTAAAAGTCAATATCCTTGCACAGGAGTCCAAAACACCAGCGCGAAAACTCCTTGAGGCTTTTTGGATCAATGCCAAAAACCCTACAATGAATAGCAGGGACGAATGCCCGGAAGTCATACGCGACCTGATCCCGTACGTTCGCATCAATTTCTCATGTGAGATGGTGCAGTCGTCAACCACATGCGACTATAATCAGCTGTTCTAAACTTCCTCATTGGAAGTCACGAAAAAGGCGGTGAGTGTTTCGAGAACCTGTTGATCATGTAATTACCATAGAGTTTTTCGTCCTTTTGTAAGTGTCATTGAAGCGTTTGGCCTAGTAGATTGTATATCAGCATGCCCTTCCAGGCTCTGAAGAAGGCGGTACTGCCGAAACATGAGCTAGCGTTGTATTGTATTGTGTTTTTCTATGGAAGTAAATGTATGCTGTTTAAAAACCTCGCGATTGCTGAACAAGAAAACGACACATTCATATCGAGCTAGTAGTGCTGTGCTCCCAGACAAATGTAGTACTAATTTGCCGACCCCGGAAGGATGGAAGGCTTGGAGGGCCATTGGCGTGGGGATCGATTCTACCTGTGTGCCGCAGTGGCGCCTACAACCACTGTACCACACGTAGAAAAGCTGGGTGATCCTTGTGGACAGTGGATGCAAGCAGACGAATCGACTGGGAGAAGTGCTGGGACCCGTACAGTGGACTTGAAGACGAGCAATATAAAAAATATAAGAAATTTAATCCTTTTATTGATCTCTCTTTTTTATGAAGCTTTTAAGCAACCATGAAAGCAGAAAAAGGACATTTGACTGGTGAATATGTGTGTCATGTGAGCAAAAAAGAAATATTTATGGCACTGGAAACCACTCATTTAAGCAGGAAAAAAATTCACTAGCACTTTATCAGAGGCACTCACTACTCAACATAAAGAAATTCGCTTGTATATGAGATCAGCTGGAAAGACGAACAACATGAACGAGAACTACGACCTCTGCGTGCAGGCCTCTGGGAACCGGCTCAGACCCGTGAGTACCTGAGCAGCTTCTCATCGATTTTACGATTTGGGCGAAGTAGAATGATGCAGAACAGCAAAATCACCAAAGAAATACCCATCATCAGTTTCTGAAAATGTCATTCGATTAGCGACTGCAGAGTGAACACAATAGATTAATGGGAAGTAATATTTTTGCTAACATGAGCTTAAGTTAATCATGTGAACGAAGGTTGCACTACCGTATAAGCTATTGAAACGTACAATGGAAACTAAAGGTGAACTAATGAGTTCGAAATGAGATGGAAATAAAAATTAAGTATATGTTAGTAGTATATAAGTATATGTTGTCAGCTAGATCTAACTATGCATTAGACAAAGGTTAATATATCGTGATATCATAGCCACTGTATATACCGCATTTCCTTTTGTATCAAGTAATGCATTATTAAGGCTCACTATCACAGAAATGGCGCGTGTGGGGCAGTGGCTGGAGGCGCGCTGCAGCATACATGTGGAATCGATCCTCGCGCCCATGGCCCACCAAGCCTTCCATCCCTCTGGGGTGGGGTACCAGACCTGCCTGGGAGGATAGCAGCGCTGGTTCGATACATCGGTAAACAACGGCGAACCATTGTAAAGGCAAAATATGCATTCAATCACCTCTAACAACGCTTGATGAAGTCGAATGTATGGCGCATTCCACAGGTATGAATCAACGCTGAGAGTTTTTTTATTACAGAAAGAGGTTATACATTTCTTTACGTTAGGCATCCCAAACGTCAGAGCAGATACTGGTTAGCTTTAGCTGTTCTATTGAATTCTCCTAAGCTTTCAAAGCACGGCACGGCGGGTAGTACAATATTCAACAAGGCCAACGTTTATTTTCTATGTAGTACTTATTAAAAATAAAATATAGAACTATGAATAAAAAGAAACGCACTTTGTGAACGATTCTTTGCTACCATATTTCTCAGTAGAAAAGGAAAAATTCTACTGCTAGAAATTCTATACGTTCGAGAAGAAAGCAACTCTACTTCTGTATTTAATACTGGCGGTTGATACTGTTAGTAATGTATTACGTACCAGTATATTCGATCCCAAGAATTCCGGATCCATGAAGACATTTCTCCAACTGTTTGCTTCTAAAATAATCAACGTGGTTCAAAAATGAACGAAACAAATGAGAAGAATTAAACTTCTGATTTCTAAAATATTGGCACTTGTCTGAAAATAAGCTTATGAGTTATGAGACAGGCGAAAAAAAAGACAAGCATAGTGTGATAGTGAACTCGTTAGCCCTCGGAAAGAGTAATATCGAGTTCGTTCCCCACCGCAGACACCTTTGGTTCGGAGTTTTGTAGATAGTTCAGCACCGTTGTTTTTATGAGTTATTTTGTACGAAAAAGAAAATACATAAGGTTACAGGAGTACAGACGTGAAGCACAAAAACTTTTCCCTCGCAATCCACCGTCGCTTCGAAATCCAATTCTTTGCGAAGAACAACAAAATCGAACGGACAAAATAAGTACATCTTCAAAAATACTTACCATGTTATGCCAAAGGAATACTGTAGCTTGTCCACTATATCTTTCGGCCACAACTATTGCTTATGGGAAACTAGTGCCGGATTTGTGATTCCCTTTTTTCATAGAAATGTTTTAATAGTGGATTTTTTCGAATGCTGTATGATTACTCGTTATTCCTCATTTTATGCACTTTCGCTCCGTACAATTGAATTATAACCATATTTTGGATGAGTTTTACAGGTTAAAAATTGAGACATTGAAACAGAAACTGCACGCACAATTCGAGAATTAGCAGAAGTCCTCAGTAGAAGCATTTCAAATGTTTCTGGACATCTAGAGAAAGTCATAAAACCGAAGAAGCTCGAGAAATGGTCGATGCACGAATTGAATGGCAATTGAAGATAGCCTTTTTGAGGCACCGTCGACGCTTCAAGTGCACAACCGAAAAAAGTCGTTTATCGACTGTTTCATTACTTTTGATGAAAAGTAAAGCGTCAGCAATCACCATGACCACCTAACCAATGACGTTGAGCTTAGTGGCTGGAAGGTGGTGTTGCTTTGAAGCACTTCCCAAAGCCGAAACTGCTCAGAAAAAGTCATGCTGACCGTTCGGTGGTTAGCCGCTAGTTTGATCCATCATAGTTTCCTCAATCGGAGTAAAACCATTATAGCGAAGAATTACACCCGTTAAATCTAAGAAATGAGCCAGAAACTTGAACTACTGTGCCTCTCACTGGTCAACAGAAAGAGGCCAATGCTTCACGACAGCGCTCATGCACACGTCGCACTAAAGACACTGCAGAAGTTGAAAGAGCTTGGTTGCAAAATATTGCCACACCTACCAAAACAATTTAGCTAATGTTTCGCCTATCCACTACCACTTCTTCAAGCAATTCGGTAACTTCCTGTATAAAAAATGCTTCGGCAATCTTTTTGCAAGTGGTAAAAATAAACTTGCTGCTCGTTGGCAAAAAAGTTGAACGTTTCAATATTTTGTATCTCGATTAACAAAGCTTATTCTGAACTGAGATATGCTATTTTAAAGATGCAGGATGAAATTCGACATTAATTTCCGACATACCTGAAACTTCAACGTTTTTCTCTAGAACCTATGCAGTCTCTTTCCAGTACGACACCATTAAGAAGTTTCATCGAAAATCTAGTGATATCGTTTTTACTCATTTTTTTTTTACATTAAAAATCTCAGTTGGTTGGTCGCAAAGCTTAGCAGCGGATCCCTACGCCATTACGAAAGAGTTAGACAGGTGCCCAATTCCTTATACACAGGTGATTCATGGAAATGGCTCCTTGTCACTACTATACCAGATTGAGTTCCACCTGCATAATCATACTCAACGACAATTCGTCCAAATCTGGACAAAAATTGCCTGAGAACTTCACGGGAGATGGTTCGTGATGGTCTCCAATAAGTAGGACCCCAATAATTTAATGCAGTTTGTTCATTATAAAGCCCACATTAAATTTGAGCCTTCCTTAAACTATTCACGGATAGGTTCAAGCTCCAACGTTACAGCACCAGCATGACAACTAGAATTTCACTGCTTTAGGACGACACTTCACCGATTGAGGAGAGAAATTCGACACGACGTGTGGTGCAAAATGCATGCAGTGTCACTTAATAAAATGGCATGCGAAAACTGGAGTGGTATAACGTGGGATCGAATGCCGTTGATCGGGAGCTATGGCATTCTACCAATGACATCGTTATAACATAAACGATTATCCTAGCAGAAGTAATAACACTTGAGTCTTATGAAAACGATCTCCATGAGTAACCAACTACTTCATCAACGTGACCCGGTTGCTTGAAAAGCTTAAAGAAATATCACGGTCGGGTAAAGAGGACAAAAACAGCGAACTCTGAGCTTACTTCTAGACTAAGTTCTAAATCATAGGAATCTTTGGAAACCTGGAAGCCACGTAAACAGGACTGGAATATCAGTGAACACTATCGAGCACACTACCGTGGTGATGCCAGGAAAACCTTCTACTACACAAATGAGATAGGAAATCCAAAATTCTGTTTTACGCCAACGCTCAGAGAAGGTGTCATTTACGTATATCTAGATATCTGATATAAGATATCTGAGACTAGGTAGGCCGCAATCGTTATGGATCTTATCGACAGGCGGCGCATAAGAAAAATTGGTGATTGGGTTTACGAGATGTCATGTCCACAACAATAAGACCACCGATTTCAGTGTCTGATACACGCACTATGATCCGAGGATAAAAGAAAAATGTTGTGATCTTCAACTCTCTTGGCGAGTAAGACCAGCTAGGCCGAAAATGAACGCGAAGAGGATAAACAAACTCGGATACTCAAAGCTCAAGTCACTCGTTGATCGATAAGAGGAGAGCTGTTACATGTGAACGATTTTAATCTGAAATTTGCATAAAAACTGGGTCTATGTCAGTAAGGTAGAAAAAGAACTTCCTCATTAGGAGACGATCGTGACCGCATACTGACAAACGCAAAGCAAATGGCACATGAGGTTTAGACTTGTGAACTAAATCGGACTTTTGCATCATCACTCTCCCTTCCCTTCTCCCAAAATAATTTTGATAGTAATAATAATAATAATAATAATAATAATAATAATAATAAATATAATAAATAATAATAATAAATAATATAATATAACATAATATAATAATATAATAATAGTAATATAATAATAATAATATAACTCGTATGAAATGCTGAGATATTTGCAAAACTGCGAACCGCAGGTGTATGCAGTCGGGAACGAACACGCGCTGTTGTTCTTACCGGGGAGCAGCGCACTTCACCACTACACCATCCGGGTCTCCCGCATTCCGGAGTTTTGCAAATATCTCAGCATTTCATACGAGTTATATTTCGCAACATATCCTGCCATTAAGAAGAAAAAGGCAGTAAATAAAAGGGTTAAGATAATAATAATATAGTAATAATAATATAATAATAACAATAATATAATATAATAATAATAGTGAAAACCGAACCTACCTTCGAATGTGACGTTGCACATCGCTTCGACAGCATCATGACAAGTCGTACTTCCGTCCACCGTAGCAGCTTCGCGCAGACATTGTGACAGTGAATCAGCGCATTCAACCGCCGAATTTTCGCACAGATTATGTTGTAAAGCACATGATGATAGTGTTGCTGAAAAAATGAGTCTCATTTAGTAATAGAAACAACTCCTAATTTTTTCGCTATGTCTACAACGTCTTTATTATTTGCCTAAATAACATTAATCACTATCGAATCGTAAGCCTACGACTGGACTATCACCTCAGAAGAAAATCGATTTTGGGAGCTTGTACCAAGATGTATCTAGTAGATACCAGAACAGAAAAGCACACAGCATCCCTTCACAGAAAAATGGCTGCGGCCTACCGTAGGAGCTGTATATTCTGTGAGCTGCCTTTTCGATTGTTTTGTGGTGAACTTGAGACGTCAGTCAAGGACGAATTGAAGCGAAATCAGTGCAGCATTTTGAACAATTGTTTTTCTTATTTAGAACGGCTTTAATTACACAATGCGAAACACTAGCAGCTTCGAATGATCTGTAACGAATATCTACTTATCAACGGCACGCATGTTTCCACCACTACAGTTAACGACGCGTTAGGCTAAGGCACTATCGTGACTCTACCGTATCTGCTCGATTTCGCTTCTAGGTTACGCGTAAATTAATACTGAAGGGAGCAATGTTAAAGCACCGTTTCACCTATGAGTACCAACAGCAAGTAGTCGGCTGCTGCAGAATAAGGGTGTGATGGACTCAGCATTCCTAGACGGGTACGAACTGAACTGGAGTGCCGTGTGTCCGCCAGTTGTTACTGCTGCGCCAACAGAGTAAGGAGTTCTTGAAATATCTGGTGACCAAGGTCAAAAGTTAAGTGATCTGGCATGCCGACATATGTTGTGCCTCCTTCTGTATGCCACAGTAAAAATAGCCACCACCTTATTCCAAACCGTCCGTGTCCACTAGGTCGTAAAGTTTTTTTTTGTAATCTTGGGATGTACGAGAATAGCAATGTGTTATACTCAAGACTGCACTGTGCGGAAAACATCTACGCGAATCATCTTTGACTCCTAAAAGCAGATTAGGACAAACAAGCATAATGCCTTCAAGTTTATTTGTTCTACGATGATATTCCTCTGCATGTGACTTAGAAGATTTACCAGCTCCTATTGATAGTAAGCTAAAAAAAAATTTATTTCATATCTTGCGTATACTCGAAACGTTGCAGTATTTCAACTTATTCTTTCCCGAGCATTCAAAAACTTTCCTTTTTTCAAAAAAAAATTATGAGCATTTTGATACTAGCAACCCAAATTTGGGATTTTGGCGACTTCTCTCATTTACCACTGTTATAGTTATTACAAAAATTGAATTGTGTACATAAATATCCAGGCGAATAATAGCATAATTTTCATTTGGTGGCACGTTCCAAGACTAGCAAGCTTTAAATATTTGAGTCTCGAAAAGGCCAAATGAGGAGTGTTTCCAACTTGTCTTAACGTCAGCCGTTTTGGAAGGTCAGAGATTTCTGAGTTCACGGCTAGATTTTCCTCAGAATTTTTTTCGCAACTTTTTATACAACCGGTCTTTCACAATCAATTCATTTCTTCGTGTCCATCATCCGCGAAGGTCCTCCAACTGTTACGTGTGGCTTCTGCAGCTGCTTTGTGACCTCCATTTCATGTTAATTGTCATAGAAAGCTGATCGAGTCGATTTGCTCTGGAGTCTTGAGATAGCCAGATTAGAGCGTTCAGACTTGAATTGCAAAATGCGGTTTCCTCCTAGACAAGTCCGGTACCGATTTTCCGATTCCCTTCAGAGTGATGAGAGGCTTAGTCAGCGCGGACCGGAATCGAACCAGCTCCGTGCTCGCGATAGTCGGCACCACTACCACTGCGCTACCTGCCTAGTCTTCGTCGTAATCGCGGTGTTAATTTCCTTTTTCTGAACCTCCGAATAGAAACAACGAACTCTTTGGCGTATGTAACCCTGTGGTGTAGTGCTCAATCACTGTGGTGCGTATTACAACTGGACATTAAGGGATATCACTTCGCAAGGAGGAAATGATTAGTCGCCAAGGGGCAAAGTGGAATAGTTGTCAAGTGGACTCTTTAAAACGCCGTTAAAAGTTATTTTCCTCTAAAAAACTAAAACTACTCCAGAAAAGATACCGAAAATGTTTTAAATGTTTTTAAAAAGTTGACCTTAGTTGTCAAGATGTCTTAAACCTTCCTCACCGTTGACCTTCGGACATAGCCCGTAGATGTCACTGTAGCGAACCTTCAAATAGTCGTTGTGTAATGTGTACTTCACAAGGTTGACCGGTTCTGCAAATCAGTCTCATTAGGCTAACAAATAATCAAAATTTACAAATAGGGATTATTTGTTTTGCAAGAAACCAATTGTCTAACACATTTCATTTTATCATGATGTCACAATCAAAGCCTAGAGAGTAAACGTCAGAATTTGAATTCAGAAACCTCGTCTGCTAGGTCATACTGGTTTCGTTGAATCTCATTGCTTCATAAAGTTTCAGTAATGCGGATTGTATTGAAACCAAAGCCCGATCTGCCTAGTCATTGTTTTTTCCCTTTTTTCTTTTTCTCTTAAATGAATTCAGACAATATTCAAAAATGTCTGGACTGCAGGTATTTTATAGCATAGCAATTGTGTGGTCCAGTTGCTTGTAGCTATTCTTATAACAGAGTCTAACCTTACGTAATAAAATAGTTTCGGATGAAAAAAATTTTAGGTAAAGAAACTGTTTGCAGCACTATTGCAGCAATGAGAAAAGTGCTGAAATCTACGTCTGAATAATAAAACGACAGAGAATTTGCTCCACTTAATCCTACCAAACTTCACAGAGCCTCCAAACTATCCACACTGCTCAGTTCTAAAATATTTCCTCTCTCTCGCTCAAATTTACTCCCGCCTCATGCCAGTCATTCAAACAATCACTAGAACAAAAGAGATTTACGACTATAATTATTTTTGACACCATTGGTTTTTAGTTCGTAGGCGGGTTTTTTTTCTTCCCTTTAACGTAAAGTACTCCCTCATCACTTCAAATATAGTATAAATTAAATGAATGAGCGAATCCTTTCTACCAGTGTAGTTGACGCTATTGCTGTACGCAACGAATCCGAGAATTTGAACAAGTGAACAGCTCGCCTCCAGAAAATCACGACATTTATTGTTGAGGATCGAGGTACGCTGAAAGATACTGATTTGTTAAGAACAATTGCTCTTAAACACTTTCATAAAACTCTATTCAACTGTTCGATCTTGGTTAGTTACTTACATTTGCAGACCTCAACGACAAGTTCGAAATACTGTATGCTCACAAAACCTACGTCAACCACATATCTTGTCGCACTTGTTCATGAATGGCAGGTCTTTTTTTCGGCGGTTTACTCGATCGTGTTCTACTTCGTAATCATCATTACAGTGGCCATCTACTGTTAACTGTTAACCGGTAACGAATTGAATTGCTATCCATGTATTTTCTATGATCGTCGGTTCATGGTCATTTATTGTAGTCTAACATGAACCCTATCGTCTGTATAAAACACTTGAGTTTTCATTTGCCCTTGTGCTTATCGAATTATTCCAAGTGAACTACTGTAACAACTTAGATTTTGAATTTGAAAAGAAATCTCTCCTATAAAGGATCGTTCAAAGTGATTTATACCCATTCCAAAAATTTCCTATAAGAAATATTAAACCTGAAGGATTAAAAACTTCAAAGAGTATAAGTGACCAATATGTTAAGAAAATCTGACTTGTTTGAGCAAGTGGAAAACAACGAATGATATTAAAGAAACTTGCTCATGGGCATAAATGCAGAATGCTGATCGAAATGAACGCATACAGTAACCCCCATGGGGCAAAGAAAAAAAAGCTAAAAAATACGAAAAGAAATCCTACCCGATTGCATTCACAGAATTCCTCGTCGCATTTCTCTCGTCCTCGTTGGTGAGTGTAGCATTCGTCGTGCATTACACAGCAGTGGTTCACGGCTGCTGAAAGTTACAAATTAACAACACTAACTATTACCACAATGATGCTGAGATATTTGCAAAACTCCGGACCGCAGGTGTTGGCGGTGGGCAACGGACCCACTGTTACCCTTTCCGAGGGCTAACGCGTTCACCACCATGCCGCTCCTTCGTTTCGCCTTTCTCTCAGCTAATTCTATCAATCAGTGCCATCAGCAATCACCCGTCAACGGGATTACTAACAATTACTTTTTTTTTGCATTCATTTCAATTAAACTCTCAATACTAATAAGTAGCGATCATATCCAAATATATTATGAAATGCCTACTTGAAGACCCTCTATTTCCTATTGGAAGGCAATACGCCATAGATGCACAATGAAATCATGCAAGCACTAATGTAGTCTGATAAGAAAGAAACGTAAAGACTGGACCGTAATTCCACAAAATTTTATATTACAAAAATAAACAGCAAGAAATATTGTCAATGGTATGAAATATGAAACACTACCAAAGTTTTATCTCAAACTGTGTCAACTATTACTTCATGTGAATCCAACTTTTATGGGTAATCTGTTTTCCAAACCCTTTTGTAACGCAATTGTAGGGAGATGGACTTCACCAAATTTCAGCACAGTTAAGAAATAAATACTGAAAAGTTCAAACTTGATATAAACAACCACATTTTAGAGCTAATACTGATCTCATCGAAGTGTACTGTGCTTCTCATAACAGCCATGTCGGCTGGCTTTTTTATGCAATAGGACGGTTTCCGGAATAGGAATTATGGGATATTATGTTATAACAATATTATTATTATTATTATATTATTATATATTATTATGTTATTATAATATTTGTGCAATATGCTTGGAATAATCAGTACTTCGTTATTGACAGAACAAACAAGCATGTTTGCCACGAATCGGCTCGCCCCTTTCTATGAGCATTATTGTTCTTAGAAAAAAGACAAAAACTTGATAAGAATAGAAAGGAAAATCTGAAGTCTGTCGTAGATCTTTCATATTTTTGATTGGATGTATGAAATTTTCTGAAAGCACTGCTATGACTAGCACTGAGCAGATGTTGAATTGCCTCTTTTTTCACAGCAAAACGAAGGATCATGGAGCTTCTTGAGCTGGTACGCTTGCATGAACTTCTGCAGACAAAAGGCCAGCGCAAACGTGTGTGAAAAGGAGGTAAAATAAAAGCTTAAGAAGGGAGAAACAGCACACAGTACGAAAAGAAATAGCTTAGTTTGCACTTATGAACTGAAAATGACTGCCGTCCACCTAGATGGAACAGTCACTTCCTTCAAAAGAAAAGTGAAAAAAAATATCCAGCGCACCATTCAGTCACGTTTACCTGCAAGGTGCCATTTCAACGACTATATAGAGATTTCATAGACTATGCCGGTTCCCCAATCTGACATACTATCTCATTTATGACGACTAGTATAGAACCTTGAGCAATATCGACAACTATCGTCCGACTTCTCGGCTATCGGTACACTTCGGACTCTTCATCAAATTCGTCATCAGCAAGATTGATAGAGCACAGAAGTGTGTGCACACTCATGAGAAAAAGCAGAGAGTCGAACAGAATTAAGTGCAGTGCTCTGTGTAACATATTCGTATTGTCATGAAGCTTGGCGAAGTATCAGCTTACATCTGTTGAGATGGGAGATGTTATGAGGGATTTAGAAGTTATGGAGACGTTTAGACGCAATATATAAAGGCCATTTGTGAGTTGTACAGCGACCAACGGCGCGTGTGGCACAACAGTCGGATGCGTCCTGCAACATACACGTAGAATCGATCCCCGCGCCCACGACCCACCAAGCCTTCCATCTCTCCGGGGTAGGCAAATTGCTACCAGACTTACCTGGGAGGATAGCAGCACTGGCTCGATACATCGGTGGGCTATCGCGAGCCATTGTAAAGGCCAGATATGCATTCAGTCACCTCCAGCGATACTTAGTGAAGTCGAATGCATGGCACATCCCTCAGGGATTGATCGGGGCAGAGAACTTTATACTTTATCCTTTTTACAGCGACTATACGATTAATATCTTATAATTTTAAATACGATCTTCACTGACAAGAAAATAGAACCTGAAAAGCATAACAAGATTTGTTAACATCGTTCTGGACTACTGTAAATATTGAATGAAAACTGCCGAGGAAATAGATCACAGGAGACGCCTTTGTGTTCGGGTCGTTCTACACCTGCCTCGTATAAAAAGCAGTTCCCATAAGCTAGGCGAAAAAGCAGGTTAACAAAATTGGACGCTGTTTAATAGCAGTGAACACCTTTGAATAGTGTGTTCAATTCTAGATTCGGGAGTCAACATGGCAAAAGGAACAATTAAAAGCAAAGAGAAGCGCACGAAATGGAAAGTTACAACGAGATCGAAGTGGTGACAAAGAGCTGATCTTGAGCTTGGCGCTGATCGAACAAGAACGTGGTCGAACAAATAGCGAATGCTTGACTTTGGACCCGTATTTTTCAATCAGCTGCTCATTCTGCCTTAACTTACACCTCAGAAATCTCGATGTTGCACAAGCAAAGCGAAAATGTGTTCAAAATTTTGAATGCGATAACAAAAGAATGATATAACATCACTCTCTACCCCATTTCACGCACTTGAGACCGACGTTCTAGGCCACGTCGAAGATAGAACATCACCAACGCTTCCGTGTATGTCCAGACTTTGGATCTGTTAGCTGAAAGTGATTTTTCCCTGGAACCGTGACATAGCTGTGTTTCGGCACTCCCAGGTCGCTTGGAGTTCAAGAACTGTGTGATTAAGGATCTTTCAGGAAGACAGCGGTTCCTAGGATGAAGTGGTCGATTGAGTTAAATAAATTTAGAGAACATACATGGTGAAAGTAGAAATTTCGACCCGTTTTTAAACTCGTTACATTTCAGAGTTGCACGCAAGTGACACGATAAGATCAAACAGTCGAACTGCTTTAGGAACTACTGCAATCCACCACTAGGTTAGGTATGACACCGTGAAGATGGCAAATGATAATCTAAGAAGAATTATCTCTAAGCGAAACTAACGCATTATTCCATTGCATTTCTCGCTAATGCCATCGAACCACAGCTTGCGCGTGAATTCGTTGCTTCCACATTGCCAGTCGTTTAACTGCATGCGTCCGTGAGTGGTGATCATTGTCGGCAAGCTGAGCATCACAACAATTTGATACCCAAAGAAGAGCGTCATCGGCTGCAAGAATAGTTCTCCGTTAATGACACTAAGACTTAAAGCACGTATTATGACAAATAATAAGAAACAGCACGTAGGTTTAAGTTGAAATCCTTAACACTCTTCGACGAGGTAGGATAAGTAAGTTTTTTTTTGTTCTAAAAGGCTTTACTCGCTCACTAACAGCGTAAGGAAAATGACCTCATTTTCCAGTTTTTCCTGTGGGCTATCCTGGCAAAGAAGCAATTACGCTCATGAAAACATTGTGAAAAGGAATATAGTAGGAAAGGAAAAAGGTGACATGAAGAAAGAAATAGAATTTAAAGAAAAACATAAAAAGAGAAAAGAACGTGAGCAAGAAGACGTCACCAGTACCTACACTTAAGACAATGCTACGCGACCTAAGGAAATACCGACTGCTACATGATGCATTGCCGCCAAAAATCAGGTCATATAGGAATGGTAATAGATCAACATCCGTCCTGTATAAAACGGTACTGTCGAGTAAAGTTCCAAATTGGAGCGGTGCTCATTACATTAGATTCGATTCGATGCGACAATGATCGATTGTGTGGTCCATCGATCCTGATCAAGGCTGCTCTGAAGAAGGCGAAGGTGTCGAAGCGTTAGCCGAATATAACTCATTAGCGAATTCGTGGTGTGAGTAGAGCAGTAGGAGTGATCTTGTCCAATACACTGACAGCCTAACCTACCCATGATCAGACTGGACTCCGTCCTGGCTCAACAAACTATTTCATTCCTCTGGCGTCTGTCAACTATCGGCAGACGTTTTTGGGATCACCTCATTCTCTACAGTCGACGTGAGAACGCCCTACTACGGCTATATCAGGGCTCCAAGGACAATGGATTGTTCCTGCATTTAATGTCATTCATAAAGAAAACGAGAAAATCCTCATTTAGTTGCCGAAGCTAGATGCAAAAATAGTTCAAAGACCTCCGTGGATGGTGGATGATGGTGGATGCGACGAAACGAAACGAACGTAAGTATTGCTCTTATCCACACAGCGTGATACATTTGATCTCGGGTTACGTAATAATAAACGATAAGATAGCCCTTGTGGTAGCTCCAAAAATCAAGAGAAACTTGGAAACGTAGTGTTTAACTCGGATGACATTTTCATTGTCTGCAAAAGATCATTTTTCTATTGATTGGCCAATTATTAAACCTAATCTCGTTGGTGATCTCTATTTTAACCATGGTAACGTCTATCTTATTTCTCTGTTAGTATAACTTTTAAATGAAAATCTCTTGAAGAATTGTATGCTATGCATGCATGGGGGTATAGTGGCCGAAGTGCATTTAATGCTATCCAACAGTTCCTTTCAGTAGTTTGTGTCCCTAAACAGAGCTTTTTATCCCACTTTTTGTGCTCAATCGATTATTTCTCCAACGAGGATCCCATGTTAGGTATAGCATTGAAGAGTTATGCCCTATCATTAATAACTTGCGACAATCCCTTTTAGCAACACTAGTTGGAAAACCCGTCCAAGCAGTGGATTTGCATAATGGAGCACAGTAAAAAGGATAAAGCTTTCGGCGTTGATCAATCCTTGTGGGATGCGCCGTGCATTCGGCTTCATTAAGTACCGTTTGAAGGTGACTGAACGCATACGCATATTTGGCCTTTATAATGAGTCGTCGGTGGCCTACCGATCTATCGAGCTAGTGCTGTTATCTTTTCAGACAAGTCGGGTACCAATTTGCTGACCCCAAAGATACGGAAGGCTTGGTGGGCCATGGGCGCGGCGACCCGATTCCGCGTGTG